AAATACGAAAGGCACGACGAGTGGGCGCGGTGTGAAACCAAATGAAAGCTCTCTCTGGCAACGAGCTTGCGCGGCATATATACGTTCTTCGTGGCTTCTGCGTGCAGCTGAGCTCCGGATCGCTAAGTCCGCTCCTTATCCCACGCGCGTCTCCGCGAGTGAGGCGCCCGGAAATCCGCGGGGGCTTAGCTTTTAGTCCACCGTCCCCCTGCGCCGCGTTCGAGTGCGGAGCTCGAGTGTCACTCACGGAATTCGAAGCGTGAGTAAAACGCTCACGCGAGCTTTCGGCCCTGTGGGGGGTACACGTAGAGTGATCAGCGTGTTTCCTGCTTTATCGTCACCTCTGGATTATTGATTTTCCTTTATTCACAGTTATGCCACTATTCAAAGCGAGAGCATGTGCCTGTACTTTTCTTTTCGATTTATAGTAGTAAATTGACTATTACTTAACTCACTATTATATTTATAATAAACATGAGAACTGTTAACCTTAAAAAATAACAAATACGAATAATGAAAGTTATGATTTACATTTGCAAAATGAATGCACACACTTAGACAGTGCAAGAAAATCTGACGTATCCACTCTTATAACCAAGGTCTTCAGTCAAAGCTCGAAAGTTACAAAAACGCAACATAGTATTAAACTATCTAGCTGTCTAGAGCTTGCAAGCCCGTGCGTATATCTATATGTATGGGAAGGCGCCACTCTGACTGTGGAATGTCAGCGAAAGCTCTGTGCCACCCCTTGGCGTTTGCTACATGCCTGGCACTCGGAACTCCCCAAACATCCCGGAACGGAATACTTCCAGCGCATTTTCCGGTTGCCACCCACAGTGTTTTCTCTCGCCGCGAGCGTTGGATGCAAGGGTAGATACTACTGCTAGTGGATACGTAGTTATACCGAAGTGTGCGACGCCTTTTTTTTTCAGTTTTTTTTTTGTGACTTTGCGCACACATACGCGTGAATACCAACTGATATTTCTTATTTGTCAATTGTGAATTCACTCGAATGTTCTTTCGCGCGAAGTAAATGAAATACGTAACGAAGAATATTTTTACTTACATTCAACGTGCATTAACGTAACGCGGACAATTTCGATGTATTGCGTAGATGCGAGAACCGACTATGCAAGAAATAATTATTCCTTGAATAACGGCAACATTTAGCTGACGCATATACGCTAAGGCAAAACTTTTGAATGCCGTTCCTTTTTGTTCCAAAACTCAAAAACCAAACAACTATGCCATCGCAATCCACAACGCCAGACGAAAAAAAAAAATTTCTGCATGATTCCTAACGCTGAAAAAAAATAGCATATCTAAGCCGGAACAGCTGAACTGCAGGACGACGGTGAATATGTGTATGTACGTACGCGCGCGCGCGCGCGTGTGTGTGTGTATACATATATATGTGTGTCTGTACATTTCTCCTCTTATACGTCATCGGGGGGGGGGGGGGGAGCTTTCGCGCAGGGATGAGCCGCTTAGTCTTTGGTAAAGCCTCTACAAGCGCACGCACACAAGTGCGCTAGCCTCGGGATTATCCAAGTGGGAGGGATTATCTCATACACACACGCGCGCGCACGTATCAGGTAGGTACATACGAGAGAGAGACAGAGAGAGAGAGAGAGAGAGAGATAGAGAGAAGCAAATCCTTTAGTGGCCGCGCGACGCCATAAACTCGTCCTCGTTTTGCGCACTGGAATCTCGCGCAGGGATATTAATGCCAGGATTATTGAACGACGCACTCGCACACACAGTTGTAGGATAATCCTTCTCCCCTCCTTTTTTTTCCGCATATGTCTCGCTACATTTTTTCGTTCTACACACGCACGCGCGCGCGACTTCTTCCATTTTTTTTTATCTCTCGTCGCTTGGATTTTAGCAAGTTTATCCGCACTCGCGTTCAGATGAGAACTGTTTTTTTACTTTTACTGTCCTTCCTTCTCGTTTTCTTGTTGGCCTGGCTCTATGGACAGTGCGAGAGCTATGTGCGCTTCGCGAAGGCTCTTTATCGAGTGAATTTACTTATAGTTTTATCGTGTTGGCGATTGCTATCAGGATTAAACTAAACATGTAAAGTTGAAGTATTTCACATTACTGGATGTAGATGTCGCGAAATTTCGTTCATTGCGTAATGCAGTTAAATATTAGTTCGTAGTGATTCAATTTGGGAAAGAACACGAGAAAGTTTCATGAAATTTTTGAAAAAATGAATTTTTAATAATTATTTTACGGATATTATTCATGAATGCATTAGAATGCTAAAGACAACTGAACAGTTTAGCGCAATTGTATACAACATAAAATACGACACCATTTCGATCTCAAGATTCTTAATTGCTGTTTCAATTCTCATTATAAAAACGAACTTCTTGCGTTCAGATTCACTTAAGTACTCTCATTAAAAATACAATTCAAGAAGAAAAAAAGTTGATCACTCCACGATGACGCGAAATAGCCATAGCTTTTTACAATCAAAACAGTTTTCGATTTGCGCGCACAGAATCGTAATCAATAATATCCCGAGAGAGAGAGAGAAAGATCCCATAGCAAGGGCGTTCTCTCAGGGTATATACATACTATACACATCGGAAAAAGCCAACGATCGTGAAGTCGAAGGGTCACCACTAAAACGACTATCCCGCAGCGTCTCTTTCTGATTATCCCATAATGCTTCGAAGCCGAACACACGCGCTCTTTGTCGCATACACGTCCATTTCTCTCCTCTCTCTCTCGCTCTCGCTCTCGCGAGTAAACAAGCTCGGCTCTGCTGCCGTTGCCGAGGGATATATTCAGCCTTTAATCCGGATTAGCTTCGGCGGCGCGAGGGTCACACACACGTACTATATCCCCCCTCATCTCTTATAGAATGTCTTGTGTCTCGAGGTAGGGTAGATTCACTTATAAAGATGAAAAGCCGTTTGGGGAATAAACCTTCTCTATGCGTGTACGTTTTATCGACGATATGTGCGCGTTATATACGTATGCATCGAGGAAATTACTACTGTGACAATTTTTGAATATCCTTCTTTTGTTTCTCTCTCTCTCTTTTCTTTTTTTTTATTAACGCTCGGGGCTACGGCGACAATCGCATCAGTTTAATCTGATCGATGCTTACCGCAACGCAGGATATACGCGTGTGTAATCTCTCTCGGGTCGTCCTTTACCCCCTCCCTCGGCAAACGTAGCATGTTCCTCTCGAACCTCCTTGAGCTTCGGGTATACACACTCAATCGCGAGCACTGGATCATGCAGCTACAGTTTATAGTGTGTTTGAGCAGGCTGCCACTGGTGCGTGCTTTCAAAGTTTAATAGCGGAGCTGAAATGATTCGAGAATTTTGAAAATCTATGTGTTATTGATTAAAGTTTCGATCTGCTTGGAACTATAAACAAAATTGAAGGCATGTCTGTGCCATTCGAGAAGTCGCTATTTTAGTGAAAAGTCAACGCTAGGTGGAGTGTAAAATTGCAGACGAATGCTACGCGCGAGTGAAATAAGTAGTTGGTCATGATAAAGCGACGAAATATAATTCTGGGGAAATGCTTCAGTTAACGTGCTGTAAGACTAAAGATACTTGCTATGGAATGTATTCTGAGATTAATGCAAAAATACGTCGTGCTTATCGATTTCGACATTCTAATTATGGTGTATATAGCTTATTTCAACATAAAAATAAACTTTGACGTAATTTTTCTATGCCCTAATACGCACGATACTACACTATTCTAATCTTACACTGTAGTAAAAAATGAATCGCACGATACTACTGATTCAGCTCAATAACGTCACTGAATCGTGAGGTCAATACAACAAGTTTCTCACAGCCGAGAGAAAGAGAGAGAGAGAGAGAGAGAGAGAGGAAAAAAAAAACAAATTGTAAACGCAGGTGTTCCCCCAGGTATACGACGAAACGCATGCTCCAAACAGCAGCCGCGGCTGCTGTGCCTTAAGCCGTCTTAATCGGCTAATCGCGAGAAGGGGAGAGCGAGCCGGAAAGACGTGTGTGCGCGTGCAACCGACTGTAGATGATTTCTTCGGACCAACTGTTTAGCCCGCGTGTATTCCTTTTGTGCCGGAGGACAAGTTTTTCGTTTATGAAATATTACAATAACACAAAACGAGATAGCGAATCTGCATATAAAAAGTATACGTATGCTAAATCCCGCGCGAGAGATAGAGAGACAGTGCGAGAGAGAGAGAGAGGAAAAAGGGATTAGCATTCATTACATTATCGACGAGGTGGGCACACAATATTATCGTATGTGCGGCTGGATTATTATCAAGCTCGAGGTTTCTAATAAAAACGCTGTACAGAGGGGAGAGAAAAGAGAGAGGTTATAGTCATTATCTGGTTAAGTCGGCTAATTGATGCAAAAACACACGCGGATTATCGTGGCCCGAGCAAATCCGCATCAGAGCAGCTTTCACCGGCAATAATTAGCCGAGCTTCCAGGCATGTTTTTAAGCCGTAAATGCTATGATCCATTAATACTTTAATCCACGAAGGCTAATGCCTGACTGCGATTTTTTTCTTTGCTTCTTTTCCGTCCCTTCATTTTTCTTCTTTATTATTATTTTTTTTTTAATTCGACGTCGCGAACGAGTGGTCGGCAAAAATACTGGTTCTACAGGATGCATCAGCTTGTATTAGAAAAACGCAATTATTTTCGTAGACTCCGACTTGGTCAGCGGCATTCTGTAATTCGTTGCAGATCTCTTATAAATGATTGATAGAGGGCTGCTGCTCTATAGAGTTTTGCACAGTTAAAATTGACACTTGATGTAAGCACATAGGACGCTTGTCGGATGCCTCAGCGTACCGATTTTAGCCGAGAGTAATGTCTTATTTTGAAACAAATACACACTCGATATAACTTGGCTTTATTGATAAAAGTTATTGTATTTAATCGTTCCTATTAGACTGGATTTTCGGCGTCACGGGCAAAATTCCATTGCACAAATCTAAATGCCAGAATGATAGTCTGAACTCACCGGTAGCCGAGGCAGTCTTGCTGAGATCAAAGCCCTCCTCCTTGAGACTAGCATTTAATTCTTGCTTGAGATGCTTGTGTGCAGCGTATGGCTGCTGCTGCTGGCCCGTCGTGCTTTGCGTCACAACGGAGTTATGAGCCGGCTGTACGGCCTGGTGGTTCGATGACGGCGGTACCTGATGCGACGTCATCAGATTTTGCGCACCCATCGACGTCGGTTGGGTATCGCGAGTCGATTGCGATTGCGGCGGCTGCGTGCCCGGTGGCGTCTGTGGCAATGATGGCTCGCTGCTTGGTCGCGAGGGCGGCGACGCTTTGTGCGTTAGGGCCAAAGCCTGGCTCTGGAAGTTATCATTGAAAACATGCAAATATGAGCACAGCGTTAACTTCGCAAAAGAAAAGGTAGTGCGATCGAAAACTGACTATTCTAATTCGTTTTTTTATCATCAACTTGCTCGGCTATTGCATGTTGCTGACGTTCTTTATCACGTAAAACGATGTATCACTGAATGTTAACTTATGAATATAAATAGTTATTATGTTAATATACCGAAAAAATATATAGCAATAGATTTTTCATAACACAAATAGTTGAACATTTATGTAATCGTCTACTTTGAAAACTATTATTCTTCATTGTATTTCATTTTGCTATGCAATGTAATGAAATGGAGTATCCTAACTTTTTGTTGGCGTAGGAACAAAAGGTCTCCAATCTCGACACTCGGTACGCGAATTTTAGTAATATTTTTGTTTATTTGCTACATCAATAAATGATCATTGATATCCATCAGAGTGATTAACGTGAAAAATTAATTGTTTTTAAGCTATATTATGTATATATAAATGATCATCTATAATAAAAAATTACGCTACAGAAAACAAGTATATACCGCGGATGTGTATAATATTCCATTTAATGGTTAAGCAGCGATTTCAACGCTCATCGTGATCCGACTAATCCATTGAGTTCCGTGTCCTACCTGATCTTATTAATATCCCAAATGACATTTTCCAAAACTTTCGTATAAATTCACACTAGACGTCTCCTCGTGACTAGGATGTTTTTATTTTCGAGTTATTATTAAACATCTAGAAAAGAAAAGTTAGAAGGCATATCCATTTGATAGTTTCAGAAAATCATATTACTACCACGCGGCCAGACGCACTAATCAAGCATATATTGCGAGGCTATCGACGACGGCGATTACCTGTCAGCCTGGCGCTTCGCCTTCGTGTACGTATATTACGAATCGTGCGATCATCTCCTGATTATGACCCAGCCGTGCGTGTATTATAGGCAGTTTCGATCGTCGATTGATTTACGTAGCGAATAGCTTTTAATTGTTAATCTGTATTTCTGGTTGGCATTTCAAACTCTTATAACATTTTGGTTATTTTCTTACTTTATATCGATGTGAAAATTGTTTCCATAATACGATTCGTCGATGATTCGTAACTAACATATATTTATCAAATGAACAAATCACGGCCGATAAGTTTTTATAACGATAATCCACGTAAATCTGAAGATCTTAGATCATACGCGTGTTTATAACTCCAAGAAATAAACAATTTATTATTTTTAGCTACGAAGTCTTTCTTCTAAATCTAGCGATGAGTGGTCTGCTAATTATTTTTCAGAACAACAATCGTATTAAAGTTTTTAAATATATACTCCATTCAGAAAAATCAATGAAAATAACCAAAAACTATAAATGTTGCAATGCAAATTGAAAGTCGGTAAATAACAATAAGAATTAATGATTGGTCGAACATAGAAAAAAAAAGCGCAAAGACCAAGATATATCCAGCACTATCAATCGAAAGAAAGCAAAGGAAGCGCGAAGACGTATTAAAGGCGGATGATCTAAGCAATGAAATCTGAGCGCACGTGCTCAATTCAATGCGCGGACTTAGATTTATGTTTTACGCTTGCCTCAAGTTAGCGCGCGAGCAAATGCGAGTTAACGGCTAAGCCGTGGTTGAAGTGTCAACTGGGGTCAACTGGGCCCAGAATGCGCCTCGTGGTATATAGAAGTGCGATCGTACCGAGCTGCGACGCCGCATCGCCTTAACCGACACTTCGATTCTTCCCGCGCGTTCTTGAATTCTTCGAGGTTGCTTTGCTTTTCGCTCGTGCATTTTCGACGAGCGCTTGGCCAGAGTATGACTTTGTCAGTCGTTGATTTTAGTCGGATGCAAGAACGCAGTTCTGTCGAAAAGAGTTTGACAATTGATCTTGATCTCCTTAAAGCCTTGTTCTGTAAGTAATAACGGCTCTCAAAATATTATGACTTCGGTAAGTCCCAATGAAAGTTTTATATCGAAAGATTAAAAATTTAATTGACTTCGTCGAAACATAAGTGTCGTGCATCGATTAAACTTTTATTGTATCAATATCCGTTTTTATGGTACAGTCAACTGACGTAACTACGTGTTGATCTCACAGGGCGAGACTGCGCAAACATCATTACGATTGAATAACGTCGTTTGCAACTAAACTCATTTAAGTCAATAATTATTTGCAGAGCAGATTTTTACTAATTATCCGAATAAAATTACATCCATGAAGCTACGTGCCAATTAAATATTGTATTCCAATAATCTTGTTGAACGTCACATGTATCGAAAGAAACATTTGCAAATTTCGCAAATACAAAATCTCTGCGATCTGATGGAGTGCGAACAAAATTTTATAAGGATATTTTGCTGTTGAGTGGGACTGTACGTCCCCAGGCGGACCCCGTATATATATATAAGATCTTTCGCGGAGCTACTGTTTCGGGAGCTGCGTGTGTTGTGCCACTGCTCTTTTCTCTCCTCTGCCTGTCTCTCTCTCTCTCGTGGATGGTATGCGCGCGCAAAAAACACGTCGGACCGCCGAACTCGATGGCAGACTGGACCAAGCGCTCTTCGCTCGTTTGCCCCCGAGCGCCGCGTCGAACGAGATGCTGCTGCTCTGGAAGCGCCTACGAGACGAAGATGCTGTATCTTCGCTCTGCCTCCGTATTACTTTCTTTTAAAGATTGCACTTCGAGTATCGTTTTTAATAATTTAAATGCTTGCCGAAATGAGGTGATTGGCGTTTATGGTTACAAATTCATGACATTAATACACGAGAGGCAATGGATTTTCATATTACCAATATTATAATATTATAATATAATATTAATAATTTGCTGAAAATTTCGTATTTCTTCGTCGTACGATGAACAAATGAAGTTTCATTCGCAGGTTCGTTTACAATAGTTTCCAATTTTGTCTTCGTATCAAATTAAAAACCAGACACGTATCATCATACTTTTGCGATGTAGATTTTTAGTATGCAGCGAAACGCTTGAGTTCATTGGAAGGCGCTAGATGCTCCACTATTTGGATATTTCACAATTGAACTAGTCTCACAAACTGTAGATAAAGGACGTCTCGTAAATTTGTATTTATATATTCATGTCAAATGCATTCGAATAAAAAAATCTAATCGAATGAACTCGCGTTTAAGAAATTCAATGTGCATTCTAACTCAGTGTACCTAAAATAAAATATAAGCAACAAAGTCATTATACGGCATAGCCACATACTCGGCGAAGCAGTTGTCGAACGAACACGGAGCTACGTAGTTGGCGTAGATGGCATAACCGTTCTGGGCGAAAGAAGAGAGAGAGAGAGAGAGAGAGAGAGAGAGAGAGAGAGAGAGAGAGAGAGTATTAAAAAAATACGAGAGACAAGGCAGCGGGAGAGAGCGTGCTTTGGGAGGATGTAAGAAGGGGGCAACAGGTGGATGGGGTTAGCGGTTTATCCCAGCTAACGCCCCGGACTGATATCTCAGTGGCCGTGCGAGTCTCTCTCCTCTGGCTTTCTCTCTTTCTCTCGCGCGCGCGCTCATGTATACCCGGGGATGAAGCTCGCGAACGTTCTCGCTCGTAAATTCGCGTCCAACTGCCGCGAGAAATTTCGCTCGTTCGTGCTTAATAAACCGAGGGTAAACGACTTTGTCGCTCGCTCTGAGGCGTTCGTACCACTCTTGCAATCGCGATCGACGGGCGATTCGAGTCGTCGCCATGGGAATCGGAATGTTACGCGCAGATTAACAGCTGGAATGCCGAGAGCTCGGCGAGAAAAGACTCCGACAATGGTAATCTAAGCCGTTAAGCGCGCTTGGAGTGATGCCCTGACCCATCCAATGAGAGCCGATTGATTCAAACAAACGATCTAATATTGAAACGCGCGCGACTCGTTCGCATTAATCGCGATCTCCCGTGCCCCGAAGACGTCACTCTGCTCGTGTATTAGACAATTAAATCATAATACGCGCAAGCCTGCTTGCGTCACAAACAACTTCGAGCCAACGCGATGGCTTTTTTTTTTTTTTTTTTTTTTTATCGAGGAGAAGATACGCTTGTCTCGTCTGCCTCCCTCGTGCGCGCAGGCAAAAGACTTGAGAATTTTATTTGAGCCTCGCAGGTGTATAATGGATTTGGCTTGGCGGACTGTGTGCGAAAATTTATTTGCGACACAAGCGTTCCAGCCAGAGCTAGAACTTGAAGAAGAGAAAAAGCAAAAGAGCGAGTAAATTGTCGAGCGAATACTCGGTAAATCGAATTGGCGACCGACTAAAAGCTCTCGGTCGCCGATCGAAGAGGCAGTCCACCGCGTGAAAGCTCGCGAAGCGTCGCGTAATTACAGGCCAACGTGAACTACGGCGAGTATCGTCGCCGTCGTCGTCGCTATCAAAATATCGGATGACCGATATGCCCGCCGATAATTGGAGCCGCTCCAACGCAGATAATCCAAACGGATCGAAACGTTTTGCGATAGTCACTTCGTTTCCGGGAACTTCAGTCTCACATTTCACAGTATACCGGAGCGAGGATTAACTTTGATCGCCACGGATTTTTTTTCAAAAGTCGAGCGCGTGGGTTGAAGTTGGAAATTCAACGTACGAGTCAACTCAATTGAGAAGAAGAGTAAACATTGGCTTGACGTTGCAAGAAAAATGTCAGCATCACGGGTTTACGCTCCAATTTCTGTTTTATTTAACCAGCTGAAAACAGATTTCTCCGTCATTCGTATTATTTGCGTATTTTGTTTCTCGTACTTTGACATTAACAATTTTTCACTCTTCAAACTCTGCTTCTTCATTTGATTGAAGCTATTTTAAGAGGAGTTCGATGTTGCGTAGCAACAAAACTCTCGCGATAACTAGGCCGATTTTCGGATTCCGTACAATTTTTGTCACGAAAAAGAGAAATGATTTGAACGTATAAAAGAGTATAAGTATAATACGCGCATAGTTTGAAGTGACATTCCGATCGTAATATCGATCAACTAACCCAAACCC